AGCTATAGTCCTGAAAACAGCTTGGTATTGGCACAAAAATAGACAGGTAGACTAATGGAATAGAGTTGAAAACACCAATATTAACCCACACACCTACGAACACCTGATTTTTGACAAACAATCCAATTTTATACAATGGAACAAAGAGAACATCTTCAAAAAAATGGTGCTGGCATAACTGATTACGGTCATGTAGAAGACTGCAGATAGACCCAAGCCTATCATCATGCACAAAACTTAAGTTAAAATGGATAAAAGACCTCAACATAAATCCAGCTACACTGAACCTATTAGAAGACAAAGTGGGAAATACCCTTGAATTAATTGGTACAGGAAACCGATTCCTGAACATTACACCAGTAGCACAGACACTGAGGTCAACAATTGATAAATGGGACCTCCTGAAACTGAGAAGCTTCTGTAAGGCAAAGGACACAGTCAGCAAGACAAAACAGCAGCCCACAGACTGGGAAAAGGTATTCACTAACCCCACATCTGACAGAGGGCTGATCTCCAAAATATATAAAGAACTCAAGAAGCTAGTATCCAAAACACCTAACAATCCAATTAAAAAGTGGGGTACAGAACTGAATAGACAATTCTCAATAGAGGAATCTAAAATGGCTGAAAGACACATAAGAAAGTGTTCAACATCCTTAGCCATTCAGGGAAATGCAAATCAAAACAATTCTGAGATATCATCTTACTCCTGTCAGAATGGCCAAAATGGAAAACACCAATGACAGTTCATGCTGGAGAAGATGTGGAGAAATGGGAACACTTCTTCACTGCTGGTGGGAGTACCAACTTGTACAGACACTTTGGAAATCAGTATGGCGACTCCTCAAGAAAATGGAAATCAGTCTACCACAAGATCCAGCAATTCCACTCTTAGGCATATACCCAAAAGAAGGACATCCATACAACAAAGACATCTTTTTAACAATGTTAATAGCAGCACTATTTGTAATAGCCAGAAACTGGAAGCAGCCTAGATGTCCCTCAACTGAAGAATGGATAGAGAAAAGTGGTACATTTACACAATGGAGTACTACTCAGCAGGAAAAAAAAAAAAAAAAAAACAAAAAAAAAAAAAAAAAAAAAAAAAAAACAATGGAATCTTGAAATTTTCGGAAAATGGATAGAACTAGAAGAAACCATTCTGATAGAGGTAACCCAATCACAAAAAGACAAACATGGTATGTACTTACTCATATGAGGATTTTAGGCATGGAGTAAAGGATTACCAGCCTACAATCCACACTGCCAGAGAAGCTAGTAAACAAGGAGGGCCTTAAGAGAGACATACATGGTCCCCTGGAGAAGGGGAAAGAGTCGAGATCCCCTTAACAAATTGGGAGCACGGAAAGAGGGGAGAGGGAGCTAGGAGAATGAGAAGGGGAGAAGAGGAGGGATGCAGAGGACATGAGGAAGCAGAAAGTTTGAGTCAGGGGAAGAATAGAAGATAACAAGAGTGGAGATACCATAATAGAGAGAGACATTTTAGGTTTACAGAGAAATTTGGAACCAGGGAAATGTCTGGAGAGCTACAAAGATGACACCAACTAACAATCTAAGAAACAGAGGAGACGTTTTAAATGACCTCCCCGGAGAATGATGAGTCAGGGGAAGAATAGAAGATAACAAGAGTGGAGATACCATAATAGAGAGAGACATTTTAGGTTTACAGAGAAATTTGGAACCAGGGAAATGTCTGGAGAGCTACAAAGATGACACCAACTAACAATCTAAGAAACAGAGGAGACGTTTTAAATGACCTCCCCGGAGAATGATATTGATGACTGACTTATATGCCACCCAATAGCCCGCATCCAGCAGCTGGTGGAAGTAGAAGCAGACACCCACAACTAATCACCAAATTGAACTGGAACCCACATGCAGAGGAGGACGAGTGAAGAGCAAAGGTGTTCATACCAGGCTGGTGAAACCCACAGAAACAGCTGACCTGAACAGCTGGAATACCAGCAGGGAACTGATACAGACCCCAGGAACATGGGTTTCAGTGAGGAAACCTTGGAAAACTACGGGTCTCCTCTAGTAGTTCAGTACTTATCCCTAGTATAGGTGTGGACTTTGGGAGCCCAATTCCATATAGAGGAATACTCCCTAAGCCAAGAGACACGGGGGTGGGCCTAGGCCCAATTTCAAAGGAAATGATAGACTCTGATGACACCCTATGGAAGGCCTCACCATCAATGGGGAGCAGAAAGGATGTGTGATAGGTAGGGTTATAGTTGGGGGGGTGGTAGAGGAGGACAGGAGGGATAAGGAAACTGGGATTATCATGTAAAACAATCCTGTTTCTAATTCAAATAAAAAAATAAAAAAGAGACCTTCTGGCATGCAGACAGAACACTGTATATATAATAAATAAATAAATCTTTTTTAAAAACATCAAAAAAATGGAAGGGGAAGACCCTAGTAGAGGAACAGATAGCTGAGGCCCAGACTCCCTTTCTTATGAAGGGTTCCAAACCTGAGATGATGGAGGGCAGTTTTCCTACTAAAATAAAGCAGTGAAATTTTCTTTAAAGAATTTTAATGGATTATGCTTTCTAATTGTTTAGCCCAAGACTATATTACTCAAAATGATATGGAGACTTTTCCATCGTTGAAGGATGAACAGAGGATTGGGTACATATCTTCATTGGTAGTGTACTTTTCTGGCATGCATGAAGGCCTATGTTCCATACAGCATCTATAATACCAGGTGTGGTAGTTTAAGACTATAATCTAAACATACAGTGCTCTTGTTTAACAACAGGAGCAGACCCTCTGTGAATTTCTCTTTAAAACTAAGAGTCACAACTGATAGTCAAACTTAAGGTAAAATGTTGGTTATTGAGTTCTAACCTAGAAGCAGAACAAAATACTGACAAATAATTTCCAGACTAGGATAATCATTAAACTCAATTTAAAAAAAAACCCAAGTGAAGGTGAAGAAGGTTGGGGAAGAAATTATAAGTGTATTTCCAATTTCCCCATGGCTGTCCTCCCAATGTATGTGAATGAGTCAAACTCATATTCTCCTGAATTTGAACCTTATCCTTGAGAATTGTCAATGAAAAGCAATCCAAATCTCTTTCAAGTAAATATTGAATTCAAGATTGGAGCTATGGCTTTAAAGCCTTGAGCAAGCCAACTGTAATCAGATCTATGTTTGTTGAAACAAACATCTGGTCTTCGAGAACCAACTGATCAGTTGTGACATAAGTTATTTTACTGTAGACACTTCATTGTTGTAGGGCTCTTTCTAGAGTTTGTTATTATAAAAAGGAAACACCATTTCCCTTTTGGTAGGTTTTAAATCAGAATCAAGTTATAGATATCAAACAATGTCACATTGCTTCATTTTATTCATAAAACAAATAAAACAATGTCTTTCCAGATTCACAGGTTTCAACTGTGTCAAAGATTACACCATGTAAATTCCCACTGAATCTACTAGTCTCCTATACTGCATCCAAGCATTTGTACCTATTATTTCACAAACTGCAATTTAATAAAATCATTATTTCTTCACAAATCTGTTAGAGTGCTTTTTCCTTTGCTAAAGCAGTAGCCTTATAGTTTACACTTGTTTGCCCATCATTGTAGTAAATGTCATGGCTAGAAACATAGTCCTTCAAATAAATAATGGAAAAAGAGCCCGAATGGTATACAGGGAAATCTCAACTTTACTTTCTGTAAAAGTGTTGAACTTAGCCCCATTTTTATTTCTAGTCTGCTCATGTTGTATGTGTCAGGGCATCCTTTGCTCATTTTAGTTCCATCAGTAAAAGTGTTTGACTAGGATGTATGGAGCCTTGAGTTTGAACCCCAGCACCTCATAAACATGTGCAATTGTATACGTCTGTAATCCCAAGACTTGCATCATGGAGGCCTGATGATCAAAATTCAAGTTTACCTTCCTAGGCCTGAAAGGGATACCTGAATCCCAGACTACTCAAAGAGAAACTGGAGTTGGGCACAGAATACTTCCACTAGCTTCACTAAATAAAACAGAACACTAATTCTGTAGTTGCTAGTTCTGGACTATCTACTGTCCATATATTAAATAACCATGGTTACTTTTACTATTGTGTCACTTTTTATTATCAGTGATGTTTAAAGTCAACTCTAAAACTCCATATAGATAATAATGCAATAATTAGATTTTCTATACCCTTCTTTGGCAGTTTACAATATCTACCTAAATTTACAGTGTAGAATGCAACCTATAATTGTTTATCTATTATCTTATTGCAGATTTAAGGTCATTCTATTCTATGCAATTTCAGAGCATAATATACAATTTCTAGAGAACATATAATATGTTCATGTATTATGAACTAAGCATCTTAACTCTATTATTTCATTAATGTACAACCAAAACTCTATTGGCTTGATAAATTGGAAAAGCTAATGTCTTATTTCTGCTTTATTAGTATTGATTTGACTCCCAGGTTCTCTTACCTTTCTTCCGGCTGAAAGCACGATTCATGATGAGGGTGGATCCTCCCAACTGTTCAGCTCAGTAACACTCAATGTCCTGTTAAAAAATAAATGAAGCATTGTTGGCCAACATCCTCTGTTTACAAGAGTTTTTGTTTGCTTTTTTGAGAAAAGGTATTGCTATGTAGCCTAATCTGGCTTCCAATTCGGGACAATCTTCCTACCTCTGCCTCACGAGTGCTGAGATTCCAGTATGCACTGGCAAACTCAGCTCTTAGTGCATTTTAAATTACAGAGCCTTTAAGAAATGTGAAATACTCAACAAGCAATTGTCTACCTCATCTCACATGGCAATAAATAAGATAAAACATAACGTAATACTGTTAGGGGCAGAGTTACATGCAATATGTCACCTCAAAGTCTTCCAAGGCATGCACATTTTTATTGTATTTATCTGTAAATGTAAGGAAGAAGGTTACTTTTCTTCTGAATTTGTTGAAAACAAATGCAATCAATTTTGGGAGTCTCCTTAACAACAGAGATAGATTGTAAAAAATTACTATGCTTTTAAAAGTAAAATAATTTTACAAATATATTCACACAATAACTTATAAGGGACTTTTCATTCTGCAAAAGGGTTGACCAACTCAGAACTTCATCTTACTGAGCTAATGCTTTCATTACTTCTACATACCTTCTCAATGATAATGCACATTAACAGTTTATGAGGAGGTTAAGGCTAGATTCTCTACTTGGGGGCCCAGGAAGAGTTAAGTTTATGGATGAATGTGAAAGGAGTGTTTTCTTTAAGAGGCAGACACTCTTGAACTCATATTAAATTGGTCTTCACTGGTTAGTGCTGCCAGCATATTCCAAAGTAACTCAAAAGACTTTTTGGAATTAAATTCATTATTCTTTCATAACTTACGTTGTCATTTTTTACCATTACTTCAATCATATGAAGTTAAAATGTCTGTGTAATAAAACATTAGCTGAGTAAGATGAAGTGTCTGAGAGTCATTTTGTGAAACAAAACAAACTTAGCCAAGTTACTGTATGTGTGAATATATTTATGAAAAGATTTTATTTCAAAAGCATAATAACTTTTTCCCATCTGTCTCTTTGTTAAGGAGAACTCCAAAATTGATTGCTTTTGTTTACAACATGTTCAAAAGAAAGGTAACCTTCCTTTTCCTTAAATTTACAGATAAATATAATAAACAATATGTATGCCTTGGAGGACTTGGAGCTGACATATTGCACTTAACTTTGTCCCTCATAGTATTACATAATGCTTATCTTTATCTATCTTTCATGACAATCCTCATCACAGAAATTAATGGAAGTTTACATGTTCAACTGAAGATCCCAGTCCTGTGGGCTTCCATCTTCCCAGCAGCAAGAGAGCAAGGGACTCTTGGTAAGGCCTTTCCACAGCCACTGATGCCCAAAGTTCAGTTTTCAGAAGAGAAAGACCAAGAATTAACTACGGATTGGAAAACACTTTTCCCACAACATTCCTAAACTCAGTCTTGTCACTTTATCATGAGGACTGTATCCAGGCTTTCATCCTGAGTATGTCAGTCAGCATGGAAGCTTCTATTCCAGGGGCACTCTTAACACTCAAACTAGCCTTAAAACATTGGACTGTGTATCTCTCATTAATCTGATCTTCTAAATAATTTCTCTACTTACTGAATAGAGGAATTTCTATTCCAAGGAGATGCAACCCAGTCAGATATGAACAATCTGCCCGAAACCAAGATCTGTAATTTCTCATCTCATAGCAAGTGGAGAACCGAAAATCACACACAAATTCTAGAGGTACATGCAGAAACTCCTCTATTAGAAAATCCAAAGAATCATACTTAACATTTAGAGAGAGTAGGGCCAGTACAACGAAGACAACAGCAATGAGCAAAGAAAAAAACTAATTTTGAGAGAATTATATTATGAGAAACATCTCACTTTATCAACAGGGAAAGAATAAAGCCAGGATTAGGCTAACAAACCTTAACAGAAAGACCTCCTTCCGAATGCATCTGTTCCCAAGAACATTCTTATCTCAAATGTATACTCAAGAGTATGTTAGAGATTAGGGAATTATTCACCACCCAGTTAAAATTCACATGAGCATTCCAAAATCAAGAGTGCAACAAAGAAAAAAAATAAAATCCAAAATAAAGAGAAAAATCAATGAAAAGAGACCCAGTGAGTAATAATGCATTGACCTGCTCCTGTGTGAAGAAGAAGCCCAGACCAAAATCAAGGAACCATGGACTTAGAGACAGATGTATTTTCCCCAACCTTCATGGCAGGTAAAAAAACTGCAGTGCAAGGAAGAGTGGAACTGAGGACATAGGCATAGAATCCAGACTGAAACAGAGAGAAAAAAGAGCAGGGAAGAAGGAAGTTTGAAGAGAGAGAGGGCAGATTCTGAACTTCAGGAAAACTTTAAGTGGTCAACTACTTCCTAAAGTCAGAGAGGTGAAGAGGGACAGCAAAATTAAGGGGATAAAAGGTGAGACTTTTCCAAACCGGGTGAAACTATAGACCATCAGATCCAAGAAGCTCAACTACCGTATGAAACAATACAAAAACTGTATCATAAGGCATCATCATTCAGTTGCTTAAATCTTCCAATGAAAAAATAAACCTTAAAAGTAGCCAGAGAGAAGGAAGAGATAAGGGAGAGAGAGTAGGAGATGGGAGCGCAGGACTGGACAGGATGGTGGGGCACAGGAGATAAACATAGACCTTTGATCTAACTAGAGTATTTTTATCCCTCATTTTCTTTACAACCTGTTAACAACAGATGAAATAACGAGGCCACTTCATGTTAATCTAATTTAGGCTATAAGCAAAATATTTAAAGACACTGAGAGTCAACCAATATTATATGAGTAAACAACATGTTTGGCAGAAATTAAGCCACTGATATTTACAGCTGGTTTAAAAGTTTTAAAGTGGGTGCCTGTCAAGGAAAAGCACTTTTCTGTTTATAAATCTGACGTTGAAGCTGTTGGTTTTAAAAATCCAACCATACTGTAATGATTATGAAAATAGATGTAGATTTAATATTAGAACTTGAAAAATGGTTCTGGGTTTCATTTTTACCTTTACAACTCCATTTGGAATCAATGTGCCAGGAACAGTTTTAAAGTATTAAGAGGGAAGGGGGGAAACTTATTAAAACACATAGGAACTCAATAGATAAAAGTTACTTTAAGATTTTGTTGTTCATGGGGTCAAGATCAGGCTGGAGAAACCCACAGAGACGGCTGACCTGAACGAGGGGTTGCTCATGGACCCCAGACTGATAGCTGGGAAACCAGCATAGGATTCTTCCAGACCCCCTGAGAGAGGATGTCAGTTTGGAGGTCTAGGCAAACTATGGGGCCACTGGTAGTGGATCAGTATTTATACCTAGTATACGAATGAACTTTGGGGGCCCTCTCCACATAGAGGGGTGCTCTCTCAGTCTAGACACATGGGGGAAGGTCTAGGTCCTGCTCCAAATGATTTAACAGACTTTGAAGATTTTGAAGATCCCCAATGGAAGGCTCCACCCTCCCTGTGGAGCAGAAAGTGGTTGGGATAGGGGGGTGGTGGGGGGCAGGGAAGGAGGCGAGGAAGAGGGAACTGAGATTGACTTGTAAAAGAAGCTTGTTTCTAATTTAAATTAAAAATGAAAAAAAAGATCTTGTTGCTCATGGAGATGATGCAACTATAATTAAATGTGGTCAGTATTCAGTTATAGACAGAAAGATAAGCTTGGAGAAATTAAAAAAAAAAAACAAAAGGGTGCTTTGGTGAATAATAACAATACATTTAAATTGTACTCTTGAGTCTTTGACACATTTGTGAAAATGCAAGTCTGTGAAGTGATTGTTAGAGAATGACAGGAATTCTTAGATCTTGAATTTACTCCACATTCAAAACTGATACAAAGCAAGTACTGGAACTATTGCAACCAGCTGGTGTGCAAAGAGTAATGGCTTTCTACATCCTGCTAACACAATCCAGCTTGTTTCTGATGGAGTGTGGAATAAATCCAGGATCTAAGAATGCCTGTCATTCTCTAACCATCTATTTCCATAGATATGTTTTGGGACACTATATACACTGCACTACAACAAGTGTATCAAGATAAAAAAACAAGTATGGCAGGGTCCCTGCTTTTAAATTCTTACCATATTTGGAGGTAGGAGAGAGTGGACCTGGGGCCCGGTGAAAGATGAGCATGCAAAGATGGAGCATGAGGTGACTGTCTTGTTTAGGGGAAAGCTTCTGAAATGATGTGAGTAAATCACTTCCCAGACTGTCAAACACCGAAGTGTGAGAGGGAATGCCTGACTCTGACAGAAGGGTGAAATGTGGGTGGCACTTGTTCATTGTGTGCGTGGAGCACCTAGCCTCATGGCTAGCCTACAGAGAACCTCCAGCCCCTCGCTAGGGCTCTGTTCTAGCATGTTCTGAAACAGTTGGTAGAGCACAGAATGGGTTAAGAGGTACATCTGTGTTCTTGGTTTAAATAATTAAAAAAGAAAAGCAATAATATGCACCTTATCCCTACTGACATTTAAATTCATGAGGTTAAATGGCTTTTTTTCTGATAACAGCTTCTTTTCTAAGAGCATTTTGGTAAGGCACATCAAAAGTCATTTCTGTCGCTCTCACATTGTACAGTCAGCTCTTGGGTCAATGCTGGTGTATCACAAAAGTCCATGTAGTTAGCCAGTGACTAGAACACTGTGCTTGTTCTCTGGTATCAGCCTGGAGAGGCTCCACCACTCAGTCGCCAGGTGAGGACATTTATGGGTTCCCATGTCCTTAGGAACAGAAGGTGACACACAATTGTCAGAAAAATCTCTTTCCTGCCAATGTAACCTTGATCCTCATATGTGTCCTTCAGTATCTGTGTTATGCTGCGCTAAAGTTCTCAGGCTCCGGCCAGTTTCAGCAGTTACACATTGAAGTTTCATTATCATTCTTTCCAATGTCAATTAGACTATTTTCTTACTGGGATTTCATTATGAAGTTGTGTCTTTAATGAAAGTCAGATGCCTTTCTCTAAAATGAGATAATTACACAGAA